AAGGAGATGCCTTCCGCATCTATTCTCAGAAATCCAGGGCTCTTTTCCTTTTCTTCTCCATGAGGGACAGGGCATGGGTTCAAGGCGCTTGTTACATTTTGTATCTTGGCTTTTATAATTTTCAACAATATGTGAAGACAGCTGTCTTCAGACCAGGCAAATCCATTTGTCTTTAGGCCCCAAAAGGCAGCTTATTCTTAAATGCTTTCAAGTGACAGAAAAACAACATTTGCTGTTCTACTCTTTTCTCACCTTATTTTCTAAATAAGTATGAACACACTACAGCAGTTTACTTAGCCGGCTGTGCTTGCCTAACTTCATGCTTGGCTCTTGGATGTTGTCCATCTGGAATGTTGGCTCATTGTCTCCAGACCAGCTCAAATGCTGTAGCTTTGACAAGCCCCTTCTCCAAGGAGCTCCTCTCCTTCTAAACTCATTTCCCCGTTTAGGTGCGTGTTTCTGTATAACACGACTGAGATGTAAGCCACACAAGGCCCCAAATGATGTCTCGTGCATTCCTTTATGCATTTCCTGTTTACACATCAGCAAAATGTAGCCGGTTCTCTGAGAAGCAGAAGAGAGTAACAAACAAGACAGGCCCTGGCACTGTCCTCATGGAACTTGTGTTCTAGAAGGGGAGAGAGCTAGCCATTGAACGACGAGTTCTACATTTGATTAGAAGCTTAGAAAGTGCTACAAAGGCAAGGTGTAGGAGGGTAGGTGAACAGAGGAGTGAGTGAAGGGGAGGTCAAGGAAATCTTGCCTGGGATGTTTTATACATATATATAGTTAGTTAGTTAGCTAGTTAGTTAGACTTAGTTTCAGGAATAGAATTTAGTGGTTCATCACTTACATACAACACCTGGTGCTGATTGCAATGAGTTCCTCCTTAATCCCCATTACCTATTTCACCCATCCCCCCAACCATCTCCCCTCCAACAACCTCAGCTTGTTCTCCATGGTGAAGAGTCTCTCTTATGGTTTACCTCTCCCTCTCTCCCTCTCTTTTCCCCACTATGTTCATCTGTTTTGTTTCTTAACTTCCCCATATGAGTGAAATCGTGTCATTTGTCTCTCTCTGACTTATTTTGCTTAGCATAATATACTGTCACTCCATCCACATGGTTGCAAATGGCAAGATTTCATTCTTTTTGATGGCTGAGTAATATTCCATTGTATGTATATACCACAGCTTCTTTATCTATTCATCTATCAATGGACATAGTTTGGCTATTGTTGATAATGCTGCTATAAACTCTGGAAAAAAGTATAGAGGTTCTTCAAAAAGTTAAAAATAGAACTACCTTACGACCCAGCAATTGTACTGCTAGGTATTTACCCAAATGTTACAACAATACTGATTCAATGGGAAGTGATATTTTAAGTTGACGTCTGAAGATTGGTAGACGTTAGCTACGTAATGCAGAGGAAAAGGAGGGCAGAGCATACCAGGGAAGGGAATAGCATATGCAAAGTTTCTTAAGCACATACTACCATATGGTGGGCAATAGTCATCACTTTCACACAGATGGTACTCAACATATGTATTATGTATTATGTAAAGAAAATGGCAACATATAATAAATGAAACAATAGTATTGTGTGCATTAATTCTTTCCAATGTTCTAACATGTTCAACTCTTCAAAGTGGAAGCATCAAGAGTAAAATTAAGGGACTCCTGGGTGGGTCAGTTGGTTAAGCCTCTGCCTTCAACTCAGGTCATGATCTCAAGGTCCTGGGATGGAGTCCCACATTGGGCTCCTTGCTCAGCAGGGAGCCTGCTTCTCCCTCTGCCTGCCACTCCCCCTGGTTTGTGTTCTGTCTCTCTCTCTCTCTCTATCTCTCTGGCAAATAAATAAATAAATAAAATCTTTTAAAAAGAGTAAAATTAAGAACTGTCAATTTACTGGAGAGGCAGAATGTGATAGTGGTTAAGAATGTGGCTCTGTAGTCACACAGGATCAAACCTCAGTTCTGTTATTTATAGTAGCTGTGCAACCTAGGGCAAACTACTTAACTTCTCTATGCCTTACTTTCTCCATCTGCAAAATAGGATAATGATGATGGTGGTGGTGATGATGATGATGATAGTAATAATAATAATGGTACCTACCTCATAGGGTAGCTACAGTAATTAAATGAGATAAAACATGAGAGGATCTTAGAGGCAATAAAGATCAGCACTCATCATTTAATGAAACCAACACATCATTTGAAAGTCTTCTCAATTTCGCCACCTAAATAAATATTTATTTGAGTTTCAATTAACAGTACTAACAGTTTTCAAGAAAAGGGAAAGTGTAATTTTTCTTTTTTACCTCTGCCGAAGGAATTTCCCTGGTGAGTATGTCTATATATAGCATCGATTGGTGAAAAGTAGAGCAAAGAACAAAATTTCCAAGTGATAGGATTATATTTCGGTCTCAGTCATAATTACACACCTTCGTAGCTACTCTCATGAATTGCAAGGCTCATTTCTCATCTGTTTTTACTTTTAAATACCTGCAGGTTTTGAAATCCTGTTGGCAATCTTCTGCAACTTTTCAAACTGGGGCAGCTTAATTAGAATCCTGCCTTTGCTCCCTTCCATCAGTAATTTGCTTGAGTTTTGAAAAACATCATTAAGACAAAGGATGCAGTGAGTGTGCCCAAACATCGAGCTTTTATTTGTTTCTGAGACACGATCGTGAGAAGGAAATGACTTGCAAGTGATTAATAGACTTGGTATTTAGCCTTTCCAGCCTTGATTTCCAGCCTTGGAGCTTGCATTTAATTTTGAGAAAGACCAGCCTGTTGCTACGGCTTCATTTCACACCTTGCATTTCTGCATTGGATTGACCAGCCTACTGGCCTTTCATTTGGCCCCGCAGAGCTAGACAGGAGGCAAAATTAAAAAGAAGCATTTGGCCTCTCTGCCTGCCTCTCTGCCTGCTTGTGATCTCTGTCTGTCAAATAAATAAATAAAATCTTTAAAAAAAAAAAAAAAGACAAACGAGTCAAAATAGACAGCTCCTGCATAGTGAGATACAATTGTTTTCAGTATTTGATGTGTTTTAGAATGACTGGAAAAATACCTTGTTAGAAATACGGGTGCTTAGGCTTCATTCCTCACATACTGAATCAGAATCTACATAAATGTGTTCTGGTTATCTATATTTTAAATGCTCTCCATGTCTTTCTGAAGCAGACTAAAATTTGAGAACCACTGGTGTGGAGGAAGAAATGTGAGCCAAAAGTCTGGAGATCTGTGACCTAATATTAGTTTGTCTATGAACCTGCAGCCTGACATTCTTTATCCTCTTCCTCTCACCTCTACTCACCAGACCTGAGCTCTTCCTCCTGGATCCCTTCTATTTAAAAAATGGCAGCGGTATCGACTTAGCCAGAAACCCAGGAATCATTATTAATTCCTTCCTTTCCCTCACTGCTACATCTAAGAACCTAAGAACCTTCCATCTAAGAACTAATTGATTACACTTTATAGCTATTGAATATGCTAACTTTTCTCCATTCTCACTGCTGGCTGCCTTATTTTAAGACACTTGTTTTTGGCCTTAATTATTAAGAAAAAAAAACCCTCCTGATTGTTCTCCCTCATTCCTCGAAACCATATGCAACCAGAATATTAGTTTTCATAAACCAATCTGTTAAACCTTTTTAATGACTTCCTATTGCCCTTGGGATAAATGTCAGATTCCTTAGGCTCATATAAGGTGCTCCAAGATATGCTCTGGAATAATTCTCCAGCATTATCCCTCCATCCTTTTCACTAACTCTGCACTTTGTTGGCAGTTTCCTGACCCCCCGGGGTTTTGCACGCAACTACTCTGCTGGGAATATCATTACTTTTTCCATTCCCAGCCATCCATTCTTATGGACAACTGCTACTCAGCCCTTAAAACTCTTTCTAACCAGCCATCCCTGCTGTCCCATCAACCCAGGGGACCCTCTTCCATGTCTCTCTAGTGCTGACACAGCCACATATAGGCAGTCTCTTCCACAAAGTGCTGTAGTTGTCTGTTTACTTAGTTCCCTTCACATTAACGGGTAGGGAGTCGTATCTTGTTTTATCACTGTATTTTATCATATGCCAAGTACCAGGTATACATTAACAACTCAATAAGTATTTGTTGAATAACTATAATAATTAAATTATTATTTATTTTTAAAATATACTATGTTCTAGGCACTATGTTCAGCATTTTTACTTAATTCTCAGTGATGCTCCAAGATAGAGCATACAGGGTGTTAAGTAAAATGCCCAAAGTTATACAAGTGGGCAAAATACAACTGAAATAGTTCAGAGCTTATACTCTCAACCTCTGTATTAAAATGGGTGAGTTTTAGTTTTCTTCTTTGTAAAATAAGGGGGTTGAACCAATTAAGTCTCTAAGATGCTCTTTTAAAATTTTGTAACTGGTTGTCCAAGGTTAGATAGGCATTTATATTTATTCTGTTTCAAGGTTCTGCTTACTTCTATGATAAAAGAAAAATGTGCAATTCTAACCTACAGGAAGTGTATTTGTTCTGTATGGCTCTTAATCAAAATTTAGATTTCTTAAAATAAAGTTCATGAGCTCTCTAAATTGTATGCAAAATTTTTGTGTGTACATGCATATTCCCCACCTTAGAAGGAAAGAGTTTATAATCTTTTTTTTTTTTTTTTGAGAGAGAAAGTTTATAATCTTAAAAAGGATTTTCCAAAGGCAAAAAAAAAAAAAAAAAAAAAAGAAAAAAAAAGAATAAAATGAACAAACAAAAAAATCACCCATTAATGTGTATGATCTTCACGTTCTCCTTCTCACTTTCCCTTTTTCTCTCTTACTTTTTCTAGACCCATATTAAACTTGACAGGATCACAATGATGAATATATATTCAAAACATATTCTAGGGAAGGCATGTTTATTGCCTTGCCCGGTAATATTTTGGCTTTTAGATATCTCTCTCATTCTCTTTTTACAACCACGTCCAATGTTTTCATAAATGTGCCTGACCTACCTGTAGATTATCACACATCTCTTGGCTGTATGTTAAACGCTGAATTTCAGTAGGAGAGACGAGGTATAATGCCTGGCCTTCATTGGTAAAACAAAATGTCCGTGCTATCCTCATGTCTGTCAGTGGCAAATAATTAACATCCAACATTGGGCGAAGACTAGGTAGGCTGAATGGAAAAAAGCAAATCCACATTTCATATTCAAGTTGTTAGAAGCTTTAATTTCTGTGTAAAATGTGCAGACTCTTACATAAAAAATTATTTTTATACCACTATTTTATGGTTGTTTCTTTTTATTCTCTTGAAGTCTCAGTGTAAAAAAACAAAAAACAAAAAACAAACTAGACTCATATAAAATCACATATACACAAAAAATCATGGGCCCAGTTCTTTATCTTAATCCACACAGATATTTAGCAGATATCCTTGAAGGTTGGATTAATTGTAGTGGCCAGCAATTTCAGGATATATTTTGCAACATTTCACAAATTCCTACAATATGGTTATAGTCTTCGATTATGGCAAAAACACCATAACTAGAAATGGCTGGCTACATACTTGGCCTACTATCTCCCTTCAAGGCAAAACTCCTGAGTCTGAGGAAGTTATGCACTAATGGACATGTGGAATAGATCCAGTTCACTGTGCCCAGCAATGGAGTGGCTTTGCTCCCCATTCCTCTACTCCCTCTATACATAGGATGTGAAAATTACCTATCACTTCACCTGGGCTGAAGGCATGATTAATAAATAATCATGCTTGAGGTTATATGGGAACGAGAATAAGTTACAGATAATAGATCAGAATTTGCATAGCCAAAGGAATACCTTTGTATTTTTTTTACCAAATAGCTATAGTCTTATGCTAATGTTGTAGCCCATGATTTTGCTTAAATACTTATTAGAATGTCCCCTTGGATGCTGCCATGAGCCAGTTTTGCAAAATACCAAAGAAAATTAATCTCACTGCTTTTAGATCACACCTCTAATGCCAAAAGGGGAAAAATCTGCAAACTTGTCATTAAATTTCAAACTTTAAATTCATGCAACTGATTTTAATGTGTATAATAATTTTAAATTATCCCAGATAATAAAACCAGTACTTTGAAAAAAAAGTTATAACAAATAACTTGAAAAAAAGTGCTGATTTCTCTTATGAAAATAGTTTATAATTACAAGTTAAGCCTTCGAACTTCATAATATAAAATGGGACCTGAAATCTGTGCAGTTGGAATAAGCTTTCCATGAGGTTCTAGCACCAAATCATCCAATATGGTAGCCATTAGACATATATGGTCATTGAGCAGTTGATATGTGTTTTGTGTGAACTGAGGTGTTCTGTAAATGTAAATTATATACTGGATTTCAAAGACTTATATGTTATGGCATTTCAAGTAATTAAGGTCTCTAAGATACGAGTCCAAAACAAACCCCGTTAAACCATGATAGATTCAGTCAAATAAATGGGTAGCAATGGGGAAGGGATGCCAATAGACTTTTCTGATAAACTACATTATTTATGTAGCATAATAAAAGTAAGCCAAGAAAACAAAAATGGTATAATTATTTTAGGGAGTAATTCAATTGCAAAAGACTAGGAACCAAATAATTTTATTATATGTGTTGCCTAAGCAGGCATGGAACTAAGTGATTTTAAAGCTGAAAAATAGATGTTTTTTCTGTGCAGGGGACATTTTATAAGGAAATAGTTCACAAAACTAACAATGATTCTCACTAAATATGACTGTCACAGCCCAGTCTGAGAACTCATTTATAGATAAGCCTCTAGTATCACTTTCTACTATTTTCAAGGTCTGGGTACATTAGAATATAGATAATCATTAGCTACCCGCCAACTATCAGAAAAGTAGGACTTGAGAAGATCTAGGAAAATAATAACTCTCCTGTTGCTATGACTCCTGTTGGTTTTTAAACTATTGTTTGTCATTTCTCAAGAAATTTCCCTCCTCGAAGTGTCATTTGTAGCACATATTTATTTAAATGCAAATCAATTTTCAGATATACCCAAAATCATTTGAGAAAACAAGACACACTAAAATTTTGCAAAAATAAGGTAATCACTATCAAGCCAAAAATCTCAACTGTGACAATAGTTTAATGTCTTTTAATTTAAAATAAAAATTTGGAGTGACTAAATGGGAGCTTAGGGGACAGGAGGATATGTGTGATATACATCTTTTTCCCTCTTGAAACGAAGGCATTCTAGGAGTTAAGTCATCATTTTCAAACAAGACTGGAACGATTTCCATGACAAATAACCAAAAAACAATTTGAGAAAAAGAAACCAGATAAGAAGAGAAGGAACCAGAAATATCTAAGAGAATGAGAAGACAGTAAATGATTGTTTTTATTTTTTTTTTAAACTTTAACTACTTTTCTTTGGATTACAAATATACTCATGTCTCCCCTATTAAAGAAAATAAAACAGTAAAAACACTCTTGAAAACCTAGTCTTGCTCTTGAACAACTTTCTTGTTTCTCATCACTTTTTTTAACCAAAAAATTTCCTGAAACAATACTCTATACTGGGGGTTGGCAAACTTATATTAAAGTGCCAGCTTGTAAATATTGTAGGCTTTGCAGGTCACTGGGTCTCTCTTACATCTACTCAACTCTGCCTTTTTATGCAAAAGCAGCCAGACATTAGGTAAGCAAATGGATGTGGCTGGGTTCCAAAAAACCCTTTATTTATGGACATTGAAATTTGAATTTCATATATTTTTCACATATTATGAAATATTGTCTGATTTTTTTCAACATTTTAAAATTTAAAATCCATTCTTAACCTTGCAGCCTGTACAATATCAGATTAGGGGAAGGGCAAGATAGATATAGTCTGTGGGTGGTAGTCTGTCAACTCCTGATCTATACCACTGCCTCTAGCTCCATTGAAAATTTACTTTTTGCCTCTACCATGCTCCCAAGATTTGCCGTCTCAAGGATCACTAATACCTTTTAGTTGCCTGGCCTAATGTTTTTTCTTCTACCCCAATTCTTTGGCTCTCTGCTATATCTGACTACCTCTTGACCATTGTTTTGGTGGTCTTCTTTCTTTTGTTTGGATACTCTTCTATCCTTTCATGAAGTTATTCTCATCTTTTTCCTCTATCTCTGATGACTTCTCATTATCCTCTGCTGGATTTTGTCTCTTTTCTACTACATGAATGTAGAGATATCCTTAAGTTTTTGTTCCCAGATCAGTCTATTTCTCCTTTCTTTTTATACTATCTTCTTTGATGATCTCATTCACTCCTGTAACTTCCACTAATGCATTTACATGGATGACTTCCAAAGCTGGATCTTCCATATTTTCTAGAGTCCAGACCTGAAATTGCTTGCCAAACTTCTGTGGGATGGCTTAAAAACACCTCAAATTCAAGGCATTCATTCTCAAAATTCTCATTATCAGCTTTTCCAAATTTTCATGAGTTTCCTATCTGCTAATGACATTACTGTTATTCAAGTTCATAAAAAAATTTTAACCTTTAAATTCTCTTCTAATCCTGAGATATAACAATCTCTATTACCTTTCACAATCAGTTTTACATTCAGCAAGTTTCCCTCAATTATCCCTCACATCTGTTTCTACCTTGCTTTCTATATAGCTAACACTTCAGTTCAGAAGACCATTTCAAGCTCTCTGTATTATTTCCTAATGTATAGCTAGAAAGGTTAGCTGCTCACTGATTAATATCAAACTCTTTAGCCTGCCACTAAAGTCCTCAATAATTTACCCCAATATACTTTTTCAGGTTACTTTCTTTCCAACATCTCCTTTTTAATAACGTATACTATCTCATGATTTTGAATTCTGAGGACTTAGTTTGTGTCTAGAAGATTTTACCCTATATTTCCTCTGCTGGAATATGTATTTTTTGTGTTATAATTACTTGTGTATCGGTCTTATCTCCCCCAATTTGATAGTAAGATTTTTAAGGACTAGGATTATGTTTTTACTAGCTTTTGTATCCTTCACAGACATAGTATAATGCTTAACTGTCTCAGTGATTTTTGGAACCAGGTGAGTTATTAAAACAAATGATAGTGACTTCTACATAGATTATGTTTATTAAGTGTTCGTTGAACTTATAAAATCATTATGTAATTTTGTGTCTCATGAATTTTAATTTACTAACAGTATAATGAAATTTCTCAACTGATATCATATTAAGATTTTTAAATTCTGGTGTTCTAATATACATGATGACTTACAGTTAACCATATTGTATTGTATACAGTATGTAAACAGTTGCTAGAAAAGTAGATCTTAAAAGTTCTCACCACACACACAAAAGTGGTAACTGTGAGGTGATGGATGTTTTAACTAATGTTATTGTGGTAGTAATTTCACAATATATACATATATCAAATTATCATGTTGTATACCTTCAACTTACACAATGTTATATTTCAGTTGCAGTGATGACTTTTAAAATAGTGTTCAGTGCTATTCTTACTTTCTTAGACTTGCAACCTCAGGCAAATTTGAGCTTTAATTTATTAACATATGTAAAATGGAGAATGCAAATAATACTTTGTTTTCCAATGTCCTGTAGAAATTATAAGGACCAAATTTAACTCTATATGTAAAGTTCTTATGTGGACTATAAAACAGTAAAAGTAAGTTCATTTCTTTTCCTTGTAGTTTATTCACTTTTATATTTTATGCCTAGCATAATATCTGGGAGATAACATTATTCCGTAAATGCTTGTGAATGAATGTGTGAATGACTAGAAAAATTACTCATTCCTTAGATTCCTTGAAATCAGTGAAAATACATATTTCATTCATAATACAAAGCATTTTTAGCAAAAGCAAAAAAAAAAAAAACCTCATAGTCTCCTTAAATTGTCAAACAAATCATTCACAAATATAATGAAGCAATAATCTCATATTGCTTCTTGATTGCACATTATACATACTTTTCAGAACTGTACCTTGGTCACATTGTTGTGATTACCAGATAATTTATAAAGAAGGCAAGTACCTCATTATCATGATATGCCCATTGGCACAAAAGCATGCCAAGCAGGCACTGTTACACATGACCACCACATCTGCTTGCAGTATAAAAGATGTCTCGGTGATGTTATGAACATAAAGACAAGTCTGAGAAGGCAGTGAGAAGACTTTGGCTTGTTTCTCTGAGCAGATTATTGTATACTGATGATCTCCTATTTCTTGGGATGGAGAGGGGCAGTTCATGACCAGTTTCCTTCTCCAAGATTTTTCATTTTCGTCTACGTTGTTTGGATCTCTCCAAACTTCATATGGCGGCTGCATTAATCCACCATTTCGGTCCATACAGGAGAATGTTAGCACAGCTCCTTTCAGTGAGAGGAAGGTACCTATAAAAACAATGTGAAATTTAAAAAAAAAAAACCAATGTGAAATTCTCTCTAAAATGGTTATTATTCATTTATGGGCAGTAAATGTTTTATAATGATAATTTATATCTATAGTGTCATAATATTGCAGTAATATAAATAAACCAGTAGATTTATGAGTTCATCATTTGCAATAACTTGGCATCGTAGACTGTTAGGTCTCAGAGGAGCCTAAGACATCAACTTATCAAATCTTTTCATTTTATTAATGAGAAAATGGAGACCCAGGAAAGTGATGAGACTTGGGGCATGTCACATGGCAAATTAGTGGCTGAGCCTGAACTAGAACTCAGGTTTCCTAATTTCTAATCCAGTATTCTTTTACCATACTATATAGTCCCCCTTAACATCTTTTTATAAAAAGCAAATTTTAGAAAATTCATAATATTCAGTTATTGAAAGAAGTTCAACTGAAAAAATCATACAATCTGATTCCATTTCCTTATTTTTTTTTTTTTAAAGATTTTATTTATTTGTCAGAGAGAGAGAGGGAGAGCGAGCGAGCACAGGCAGACAGAATGGCAGGCAGAGGCAGAGGGAGAAGCAGGCTCCCCGCCAAGCAAGGAGCCCGATGCGGGACTTGATCCCAGGACGCTGGAATCATGACCTGAGCCGAAGGCAGCTGCTTAACCAACTGAGCCACCCAGGCGTCCCATTTCCTTATTTTTTAAAATTATTTTTATTAACATATTATTTATTATTTGCCCCAGGGGTACAGGTCTGTGAATCCTCAGGCTTACACATTTCACAGCACTCACCATAGCACATACCTTTCCCAATGTCCATTTCCTTTTTTCTTAGGCTCATTTACTAGAAAATGTTTTTTTTTCTTCTTTTGAAATTGAACGCTTCATGAAATTTTAACATATAAAATTCAGGCTACAATTTTGATTATATTAAAAAATCCTTTGGCTCTTAGGCAGGGTTATATATCTTTATATGGAAAAGAAGTTTACTTACCTTGATTCTCCAAATTTGAATATCCATGACCAATTTTTACCTATGGGTTTTTTTTACCAGTCCCAGAGGGCAGAATACTGTACAGCTTAGGAGATAACTTGACATAGATTGACCTTTGGACATCACCAGACTCTCCCTTAAGCAATGTCCCAGCAGTCTTTTCCTTCCTTTGTCCTTTGACATCATGCAGAGAGAGTAAGGGGATTAACCCAGGGTGATATGCCTCAAGAATGTACATAAAACAGACACTTGAAAAAGGAAGGATGATAAATAAAAATATAGTCCATTTAGAAAGTACTCTATAATTTGAAGTACTTAAAATTGATAAAATTTTAAAATAACATGCTTAGGTGATTTACTATCCCAGTTGTGTTTTAAAATCCACCTCAAAACTAAAAAGTCTTGTAGTAAAGCTTGAAATCAGGTAATGTGATGCCGCCAGTTTTGTTTTTCTTTTTCAATATTTCCTTAGCAATTCAGGGTCTCTTCTGATTCCATATAAATTTAAGGATTATTTGCTCCAGCTCTTTGAAAAATACCAGTGGAATTTTGATTGGAATGGCATTAAAAGTATAGATTGCTCTAGGCAGTATAGACATGTCTCCAAAGGCAAAGGAAACAAAAGCAAAAATGAACTTTTGGGACTTCATCAAGATCAAAAGCTTCTGCACAGCAAAGCAAACAGTCAAACTAAGAGGGAGCCCATGGAATGGGAGAATATATTTGCAAATGACACTTCAGATAAGGGGCTGGTATCCAAGATCTATAAAGAACTTCTCAAATCAACACTCAAAAAACAAGTAATCCAGTCAAAAAATGGGCAGAAGTCATGAACAGACTCTTCTCCAAAGAAGACATAAAAATGACTAACAAACACAGAAAAAATGTTCAACATCAGTAGCCATCAGGGAGATTCAAATTAAAACTGCAGTGACGTACCACCTTACACCAGTTAGAATGGCCAAAATTAGCAAGACAGGAAACAACATGTGTTGGAGAGGATGTGGAAAAAGGGAAACCCTCTTACACTGTTGGTGGGAATGCAAGTTGGTGCAGCCACTTCGGAGAACAGTGTGGAGATTCCTCAAGAAATTAAAAATAGAGCTTCCCTATGACCCTGCAATCGCACTACTGGGTATTTACCCCAAAGATTCAGATGTAGTGAAAAGAAGGGCTATCAGTACCCCAATGTTCATAGCAGCAATGGCCACGGTCACCAAACTGTGGGAAGAACCAAGATGCCCTTCAACGGATGAATGGATAAAGAAGATGTGGTCCATATACACTATGGAGTATTATGCCTCCATCAGAAAGGATGAATACCCAACTTTTGTATCAATATGGATGGGACTGGAAGAAATTACGCTGAGTGAAATAAGTCAAGCAGAGAGAGTCAATTATCCTATGGTTTCACTTATTTGTGGAGCATAACAAATAACATGGAGGACATGGGGAGATGGAGAGGAGAAGGAAGTTGAGGGAAATTGGAAGGGGAGATGAACCATGAGAGACTATGGACTCTGAAAAACAATCTGAGGGTTTTGAAGGGGTGGGGGATGGAAGGTTGGGTGAGCCTGGTGGTGGGTATTATGGAAGGCACGTATTGCATGGAGCACTGGGTGTGGTGCATAAACAATGAATTCTGTTACACTAAAAAGAAATTAAAAAAAAACTACAAAATATTCATTAAAAAAAAAAAACAACTAAGAAGCCTGTTAATGTTCTACAAGGGTTACTGAAGAAGATAGGAGAGCAGGGTTTAGGCGTTTCAGTATGAGGGTCAAGGACTAAAAGAACAGTTGTCCCAGTGTTCCATGGGAAAAAAGGATAATGCCAAAAGCATTCCACTTTTTTTTTTTAAAGATTTTATTTATTTGACAGAGAGAGATCACAATTAGGCAGAGAGGCAGGCAGAGAGAGAGGGGGAAACAGGCTCCCCGCTGAGCAGAAAGCCCAATGCGGGGCTTGATCCCAGGACTCCGAGATCATGACCTGAGCAGAAGGCAGAGGCTTTTAACCCACTGAGCCATCCAGGCGCCCCCAAAAGCATTAGACTTTTACTTGGTATGAGGAAGAGTTTGAGAATAGAGTGTTGTAATCAAATTTTCATTTAACAGGATCACTATTCCTGCTAGGCATATTCTAGAGGGAATCAAGTTTGAACAAAGGGAGAACAGTTAATAGGCAAGAAATGGATAGAGGTTTCCTCCAAACAGGTGTTAACAGCAGAGATGGTGAGCAATGATCAGAATCTAAGGATACTGTAAAGGTCAAGCCAACAGAATTTGCTAATAAACTGGATTTAGAGTGTGAAAGAAACAGAGTGGTCCAGGATGATTCTAATGTTTCTGACCTGAGAAACTGGAAGGATCAGATTGCTGTTAACAGATGTGGGAAAGAATATGGGAGAAAGGAAAGGAATACCAGGAACTCAGTTTTGGACATGGTAAGTTTGAAATGCTTATTAGACATTCAAGTGGATGTTAAGTAGCTGGATATCTATGTCAGAAATTTGGAGATGGTTGCAGACAATAAATACAAATATATGACCCATCAGATTATCAATGGCACTGAAGTCATGAGGATGGTAGATTTCATTTTAGCCTTGAATATAAATAGAAAACAGAAAAGGTTCAAGTCAGTCTTTGGGCATTCTGATGTTTTAAGTCCAGTGAAATGAGAAGGAACCAGTAAAGTGGACTGATAAGGAATGGCTAGAAAGTTAGGAAGAAAAGTAGGTAAATAAAGTGTTCTGGAATCCAAATGAAGTGTTTTTAATGTAGGGACAATGGTAAACTGTGCAATATGTTGCTGACATGTCAAGTAAGATGTGCATTGAGAACTGACCATTGGATGTAGCCATGAGGTCAGTGGTGACCTAGATAGAGGTTATATTGATAGGTATGGGAGAAAGCTTGATTAGAATGGAGAGGAGAGAATTGGAGAAGAAAATTGGAAATAGTGAATACAACACAAACATTTCAAGGAATTTTGCATTAAAGAAAAAAATGAAAAGGAGCATTTTGGAGGATAGATTCAAGAGAGTTTCTCTTATTTATATATATAAGATTTTAAATTTTCTTTTAAGTAACCTATACACCCAGTGTGGGCCTTGAACTCACAACCCTGAGAGCAAGAATCACATGCTATACCAACTGAGCCAGCCAGGCACTCCAAGTTTTTCTCTTTTAATGGGAGAATGAGCAGCATGTTTGTATAATGATCTAGCATAAAGATAAGTACTGATTACTATTATAATTACACAATAAGGTGTAATAATGCAAATATAATAAAATTATATAAAGGAAACAGAGGAAAAGTTGCTGGATTGACTTTTTTTTGAGTGTACAAGTAGAGAAGTTGGCCAAATTGGGAGCTTTCACAGCTTAGTCATAGCACAGGAGAGAATATAGACACCCTGGACAAACAGGTTGGTAGATGTGGTGGTTGAAGTTGTTATCTGCTTGTTTCAATTTCCTCAGTTAAAGAGGACATGTGGACATTGCAGACATTGAAAACAGCAAAGGAGATACTGGTGGTTTGAGGAGAGTGGAGAAATAGAATTGTTCAAGAGCATGGGAGAGAGGACTAGGGAAATACAGTAAATATAATTATCCGGGAGCATAAAAGCCTAGTTGAAGTTATTAATGATTTATTTCAAAATGAGACTATTTATTGTGTTTATATATTGTTCTCTAGGCATGTTCAGCTACACAAGTATAGAAATGAAATAGGTAGAATTAAAAAATTTTTAAAAAGATTTTATTTATTTATTTGACAGAGATCACAAGTAGGCAGAGAAGCAGGCAGAGAGAGGAGGAAGCAGGCTCCCTGCCCAGCAGAGAGCCCGATGCGGGGCTCGATCCCAGGAACCCGGGATCGTGACCTGAGCCGAAGGCAGAGGCTTTAACCCGCTGAGCCACCCAGGTGCCCCGGTAGAATTAAATTTAACCAGAATTGTGATTAAGCTGAATATGCATGTGTAATACTGTGATTTATAATAAACATATATTTGGTCTTTATTCTGTTTCTGACACAGAGCTCCTAAAACCCTTGGAATTTCTAAGTGTGAGGGCAACACAAGTGTCTTTTATTATTGAGGTGACTTTTAGACCTCACCCAAGGATGGGGCTGGTACCAGAGGAACCAACAATGTGATTAGAGGGTTGGTGCTTTTAGTCCCACCCCTTCCCCACTCCAGGGAAGGAGGAGGAGGAGCCTTGAGATTGAATCCAATCACCAGTGGTCAATGATTTAGTCAACCATGCCTATGTAATTAATAAAGCCTCTGTAAGAACTCAAGGAAGAGGTACTGAGAGCTTCTGGGTTGGTGAATAGGTGGAGGTGCAGGGAGAGGGTTTCTCTTGGAGAAGACGTGGAAGCTCTGGCTTCTTTTCCCTACTCATCTCTTCCATCTGGATGTTCATCAGTATCTTTTAATAATAAACAAGTAAAAGGTAAGTAAACAGTTTTCCTGAGCTCCGTGTGCTACTCTAGCAAATTATTTGAACCCAAGGAGGGGGTTGTGGGAACCCCAGATTTATAGCCAATGGGTCATAAGCACAGGTGACAAACTAGACTTGTGACTGGTGTCTAAAGGAAGGAGAGAGGGCAGTTTTGTGGAACTGAGCCCTTAACCTGTGGGATGTGATAGTTACTTGCAGATAGTATCAGAGTCGAGTTAAATTGTGGGACATTCTGCTGGTGTTGCAAAGAATTGCTTGCTATGAGGAAAAACCTCCACGCGTTTGGTGTCGGAAGTGTTCCGAGTGTGGAAGAAGTGTGAAAGTAAAAGAGGTACATAGGACAAGCACAGAAGGAGGAAGCACTGGGTTTTTCCCACATGAGGCAAGAATCATAGCTTTTTCCATCCCAGCATGTAAAGTTGCATTTGTAGAATCACCTGGGAGGTTGTTAAAAATGCAAATCCTCAGACTCCACCCCAGACCTACCAAATTGGAAACTCTGGAGGTGGGGACCAATAATCTGTGTTGTAATATACCCTCCAAGTAATTCTGATACAGACTAAAGGGATAACTACACGGAATGGATAATCTTTAGGTGTTTTCGATTCTAAAATTCAATGATTTAGTTCACTTCAAATTTTCATATCCTTGAATTTGTTGTCAAGACAACCACAGTAAATAAATGTGAAAAGATTCCTTAAAAAGGAGAAGTGGGCTTTTCTTTGTTGAGAGGCTTTTGATTGCTGATTCAATCTCCTTGTTAGTTATAGATCTGTTCAGACATTTTATTTCTTCATGATTCAGTCTTGGTAGGTTTTATGTTTCTAGGAATTTTTTTGTTTCTTTTAGGTTGTTTACTTTATATGCATATAATTGTTCATAGTAGTCTCTTATAATCTTCCAGTTAGGCTTTCTCTCTTTTCCATGGTTATTTATGAAACACGTCTGAACTTAGCTTCACAGTTAACTCTTTCATGTATCGCTTAAAAAATACTTTTTTTAAAGAACAGTTTTAGGGTTACAGAAAATTGAGTACAGAGAGTTCTCATATGCTCCCTTTGTCCTTTGTTTGTATTTGTGTTATATTTGTTACAGTTGGTGAACTGATATATTAACTAAAGTCTTGAAAGAACTGGAGAATAATGACAGAAAATTGGAGAAGACAGGTTCCCATTATTTATCTTTAAATAGTTAAGGAAAAGCTTTGCAAATATTTACTAACTAGATACCACATTATTAAGTTAAATCTCTACTTATTTTGTATTTTGCCATCATTTTTAGTCTATGTCTGTTTGTTAAGAATGGTAAAGGACTTTCCTGTAATATTGAGAGATCCGTTCAAGTAGTTCCAGATGTGTATATTTCTAGGCTTGTGACTTGGAAAACCATATTTGTTAGAATATCTCTTAGAAATTTGTCTTCTGCTTACACTTGTAAACTTGTGTACACAAGAGTTAGATTTTCACCTTTAAACTTGTAAGGAGTGCTTGGCACATATTAGGTATCCAATATGGATAACAATTTATTGGTTAAATAGTGGATTGAATTAATGTTTCATAATTCACTATGACTTTACTGATCTGGCTCTAACTCAACCACTGTAAGAGAATTGTGCATATTTCTTTAAAATTAGGAATGTAGTAAAATATTTTCTCATCATGAAGTATGTTTATAATTAAAGTGACCCTAACAGATTAACTTTTAAAATACAGTGCATTTTGTGGGCTGAATTGTGTCCCATCAAATTCATATGTTGAAGTCCTAAACCTTAGTGCCTCAGAAGGTGATTAATTTAAGTTGGAGCCTTTAAAGAGATGATTAAGTTAAAAGGAGGTTGTTAGAGTGGGCCTTAATTCAAACTGACTGGTGTCTAAGAAGAGATTAGGGTACACAGGGTGATGCCAGGGGTACATGCACACCGAAGGACAGCCATGGGAAGACATGGTAAGGGTGGCTATCTATAAGCCAAGGACAGAGGCTTCAGAAGAAACTAGAACTGCTGACACCTTAATCTTGGCCCTCTAGTATCCATAGTATGAGAAGATCAATTCAATTGTTCAACACACACACACACACACACACACACACACACACACACACACACATCTAAATTGCCACACTCGTAGAGAGCTGACTATTCCACCTATAAGTAAAAATCTACAGGAATTTAGCACACCAGTTAACAAAATATTACTCTAACCTAGTATTCTTTTTTTAAAAAAAGATTTTATTTATTTATTTGACAGAGATCACAAGCAGGCAGAGAGGCAGGCGGAGAGAGAGGGGGAAGCAGGCTCCCCGCTGAGCAGAGAGCCAGATGCGGGGCTCAATCCCAGGACCCTGAGATCATAACCTGAGCCGAAGGCAGAGGCTTTAACCCACTGAACCACCCAGGAGCCCCTCTAACAGTATTCTACGTGTGTGTGTGTGTGTGTGTGTGTGTGTGTGTGTGTATACTTTTAAAATAAAATTCCTTATCCAAAAAAAAAATTCCTTATCCTATATATCGATAAAATTCTTTATTTTTCTACTTAAAAACTATCTGAAAACATCATACATAGGAAATACAAAGGAAGAGTTACTGAGAACAAATTTTAAAGTATTCAAAGGAATTGCATGAGGAATCACACTCTTCTTTGGAAGGAAAGAAAGATAATTCGAGAGAATACAACACATGCTTTAGCAAAGTACTCCTAACATATTAAATTCTTTAGGCACTAGAATAAAAAGGAAATAAATTATGTGCCATGCCTTTGAAACAAGATGGGAAGGTTACCAAGGATTTTAGAAAGCCATGTCAAGTCAGACTGCTCCTAGATTAATCATTCTGAGTTTTTCAGGGATGATAAAAAATACTCATAGGATCTGATCTGACATGGAACTTTAGAGAAATGCTTCAATTCATTAAATACTTTAAATTTTGCATTATGGTTTTCTGTAGTGCTTTTCAGAAACCTTTCTCCTAAGGCATTGTTTAGGTGGGCAGTTCCACAGTTTCCTACCATAGAATTAATTGTATTATTTTATTCTAAGGAATGGTAATTTGCTGTATGACAAATGTTGGGATAGTATGATTTATGAAATTTTCAATAGTTTCCAGTACAGAGAATACTTATAAACTTTATTCCAGATCAAGCAATACAAATTAATGTTCTACATTATTTTACATCTAAATGTTAAAAAGTAGCATTTAAGGAATAAATAAAAACTCTTACCACTTGGGAATACCATGACTGGCTCTGTAAATCTTTGTTCATCTGCTGAAGGAAGGTTCAGGGAGATGATTAACACCATTCCCAGACTAGTTCCAACAAACAAACAAGGGGAGACCGTAGGGTCATTTTTCCGAGCAAAGGACTCCATGAAGTATAGTGCTGTAATTGCTTCTTTCGAATCTTTGTCAATACTGGAGATGCTAGAGCTTCTAGAACGATTATAGGAATTTTCTCGGCTTTCTATAGAAATTCAGAAAAACAAAAATTCTTAGTGTATTTCCATAACAAGTAAAGTCAGACTTAGTACATGAAAACCAAAATTATGAAAGGGAAGTGGAATTTGATTCCTTGTTAACTGCTGGGACTAGAAGTGGAGTCTCCAGAGTTCCAGTTCACTATGTTTTTCTCCCTATATTACTTCACAAATTAGTTGAAATTTGTAATCTGGAAAAAAATATTTAGTCTGAGTAGTCAAGGTTATACGAATTTCTGGTACCATTTTAATTATGCTTCCTTTCTATCTCTCAATCATTGAAAATATTCCTAATGATTTCTTGGCAATTCCCACCTACTGACAACATTATGGTGATACTTACCTGAAAGGTCACAAATGTTCTTGGTGAATACATTTCCCTGACATAATTTTTGGTTTTGCTATATTTGGAGTAACTATAGTCCTAAAAACTGGAGTATTTACCAAGTCCAAAGAGCAAATGCTATATTCCTGAACTACTTTCAGGCTACCTACCTTGAATCCAAATCCAGTTCTAACTTTACCTGGGACCAAAGAAGCTGTAGGCAGGCCTATCTCATTGTTAATGGTAATCTTTGAGAGGGCTTCAGGACACCTAAAGGAAGCTGGATGGTTTCAAGTTTTCCTGCTCATCAACACTTATACATGAGCACACTCCAATAAGCATAATGTACCTCCCTCAGTTAAATACTACTAGGAACATTTTGTACTTATAATTGCTCCAGAGTTCAAGTTCCTCATACTCTTTTTTCTACTGCATTCACTTCTTTTCTTTCTTGATAGGTGCAAGTGTGACTCATTTTTATAAAAAGAGACTCAATATAAGGTCCTTTGACTTTTCTTTTTCTAAAAAGCAAAATATAGTATTCCTAATTGCCCCCTTCTATCATACAACAAATTTGTAAAAATAATTATTTGTAATAGAATTTAGATATGAGAAGGAGCTTGGATATAATCTATGCAATTTTATAGATTTGGTGACAGAGACCTAGAGTTAAGCAATTGTCCCAGAATCCAATACAAGTTAGAGGCAGAAATATCTAAAACTCAAAATTCTCAACAATCCAGTGATTAAGCGTGCTACTTCTATAACTTTACATTTTGCTCCTATTATAAAATTCCTAGCTAATATGCTTTCAAAGTTTTTCCATTCATGGTTCATTAACATTCAAGTTTGTTACTCATACACCTGTGAAAGAGATAACTTCATTATCTGCACATCCATGAACTAGATTTAGTATTTAAAAATAATAAATTTTTAAATCATTACTAAAAATTTTTTTGAAGAGTGGTAAATGGGGAATTACTTTATAGAAAGAATTACCATAGAAAATCTAAGATTATTTTTTCCTGTCTTTCCTCAAAGTTCTTTGTCAGCAATACTGTTGCAACTAAGTTTCATGATTCCCTTTTTTTCTCCCTCTGAAAATTTCTGACCTTCTAGCTTTTACACTTTAATTCCTGCTCCAACACTCACTGCATAAATATGCAATTAATCCTTTTAAAAACATATGAAGATTGCAAACTTTAGAACTTAAGATTTTGCCTTTTTCTTGGTCGCATTCACTTGACAGTTGAGGAAATGAGGGTTGCAAAACATTAAATATCTACTAATAAAGACACTAAACGGCTTACCACTGAGATGGAAGGAAACTCAATTGCTGCTGGGAGTGTAGAGAACTGATTAAGGCATAGGACTCCCCTGTACAGAGGAGGTGTCTACCAATGAGAAGAACCATTCCGCTTTTAGAGATGAAGAAGGAAGTATTGTGAAGAATAAATTTGCAGTCATGGCCACAGCTTGACCAGGCTTTCAGTTACTCATTGCCTAGAACTGACTGTAACAAGACATATATCCCTTGTCCTCTAGCTCCCATTATCATAGCATATAAAATTTTAATTGTATCCACAAAAATTTGTATGTTTAACTTACCTTCTGTTGTGACTGGTAAAGAAATTTCCATGCAAGCAGCTGATTGTGCTTTCCTAAATGGTGGTCTTCCAGGACCCCAGCGATTTACTTTTGAAACATCAGCGCTGGACAGACGTTTTCCAGAACTGCAACTTTGAGAGGTTGGACTTGTGCAGTGTCCGTTTACATGATCTGTACCAAAAGGAAGAAGGCAGCATAAATATCATAATTAAATCTTCACATAAAGGAATCTAAACATGTAGATTAATGAAGAATGAGAATTCCTTTTTCACCAAAACCATGTAAAGATGGCTAAGTCCTTGCTATTTTAATATTTAGCTACATTTTCAGTAGTTAGCCAAAAATTCATAAGATTTATATTACACATAAATTCATTTTAAATATGTGGCTAATTAACATAGCTTAAGATTTATTCCATATCCGCATTAAGTATTATACCATTTAATAGCATTACAGAATAGATTATAGTATTTAACTTTCTTTTGCATAATTTAAATATACACCTATTTATATAAGTTTTAGAAGTACCTCAAGTGTTTGGAGTTTAAAATATAGAATATAAACATCTTTTTAAAATTAAATTTAATTTTTTTCAGTGTTCCAAAATTCATTGTTTATGCACCACACCCAGTGCTCCATGCAATACGTGCCCTCCACAATACCCACCACCAGGATCACCTGACCCTACCTTCCCCTTCCCTCCAAAACCCTCAGTTTGTTTCTCAGAGTCCTCAGTCTCTCATGATTTGTCTCCCTCTCCAATTTCCCCCAACTCACTTCTCCTCTCCATCTTCCAATGTCCTCTGTGTTATTCCTTATGCTCCACAAGTAGGCAGTTATCATATGGTTTCACTTACTTGCGGAGAATGGAAACATCTTACTCTGCAGTTGTGAATGGTAATTAAGAATATTGATTCTAGAGCCAGACTGCCTGGGCTCAAATCTCAATTCTACCATTTACAAGTTGTACAAATTACTGAAGTATTCATACTTTAGTTTCCTTTTCTATAAGCTGGGAATATTATCTACCTCATGGAGGTTTTGTGATAATTCATGTCACATGCCAAAACACTTCTTGGTATATGGTAAATTCTGAATAAAAATTATTACTGTTATTCTTGTTCCAGACTGCTTTTGTCTAAGACAAATAGTACGATTCATTTAGACCTTATGAGTTTGTTTCTGTTTGGATATAACTTAAAAACTTGGAAATAATACCACTAAAAATAGGTGTTTTGTTAATGCTCCTATATAATATACGAAACATCTCATAGTTCTGTAATATTGAGTACATTTTAAAATGTACCTTGATCATTCAAAGGACAATAGAGTTAAATGGAGAAGAATCCCGTTTAATGTCCATATGGTACTAAGTACCTACTCCATTATAGCCTTTTTATATTGTAGAGTTTGAAAACTTAAAATTGTTCATTTCCTGGTTTTCCTTGCAGTGAGTGTAAAGATGATGATTCAATTAAGTTTCACCATTCATATGCATTAGTGTGTTTTACTATTTTTTTAAAAAGAGAATTAACATATTTATTAAATATTTAAATGCCAGGCACTTTATACACATTACCCATTTAATCTTCACAAAAGCCCTGCAAAGCAGATGCTTTATTATCCTGATTTTGCAGTTGAGGAAACTGAAGCTCAGAAAAAAGAGTTTGGAAAATTGTCTAATATTACATAAATTATATTTTTGGAGGCAGAATTCAGATCCAGATATTCTTACTTAGTGTCTATATGCTCAAAAACTGGACTACAGCACAAGCTAAAGTATTTGGTAAGGGGTAGCAACTTTGAAGACGTATTTAGTAGGATTTAGGAGTAGCCTATGTAATGCACATTGAGATCCAGGCCTTTTGGGGCCAGTCATCTTCCATATTAACACAGATCTCGGAAATCCCAGATTTCCCAGATGGAAAGGCAGAAATATCCCTTAATGAGTTAGTCATGGGGAAGCTGAAGTCATGATCTCTGCCCCTTCTGCACTATCAAATGTAGTCTTATAAATAAGAAAAACATGGAGAGTGACAGCTGGCACTATCAAAGACTTAGAATGAATTAAAAAATGGCAACTTTGGTGGCCCCGTCAGTTAAGCCTCCAACTCAGTTTCAGCTCAGGTCTTGATCTCAGGGTTGTGAGTACAAGCTCTGTATTAGGCTCTATGCCCTACTTAAGGTGGGGGGGAGAAAGAAAGAAAAATTGGGTACAAATTGCAAAAATGAGACCACTTCTGGGTATATCTGTTAGGAAAAGTTGTCCCTTCATCAGGCATGATGTCTTGGTTGGGGGACAAGTGCGCTTGTTAATTGACTTAACATTGGTTTTCTTGATTAATTTGTTTTAGCAGGAAAAGAATTTATGAAGGATATTAGGTAGCTCAAAACTTCAAGGAGAACCTATAAGGTATACTCAGAAGCTTTGCAGCCCCAAACAGTGCCCAGCCATACTGGAGTTACTGTTTGTCAGTGGCTCAGCATTGAAGATGTTGGTGTTAGATGCCAGAAGCTGTCCTATTGCTGGCCTCATATAGCAGGACATCTCTACCATCATAATTACCAAAACTGAGGTTTATGTAATTACAAATTAATTTTTTATTTTAGTGGTTTTTTTTAAAAGATTTTATTTATTTATTAGAGAGAGAGAGAGAGAGATAGAGAGAGAAAGCATGAGCACAGGCAGACAGAGTGGTAGGCAGAGGCAGAGGGAGAAGCAAGCTCCCCGCTGAGCAAGGAGCCCGATGTGGGACTCGATCCCAGGACGCTGGGATCATGACCTGAGCCGAAGGCAGCGGCTTAACCAACTGAGCCACCCAGGCGTCCCTATTTTAGTGTTTTTTGACTATTCTCATTCTCTACCTTTTTCCTGATATTTTGAGGATTTTAAGCTCTTATTTTTAGGATTTTTTTTTTTTTTGAAGAATTTTAAGCTGAGACCCAAACGGACTGAATCACAGACTTCTCCTTGATCAACTTAATTTTTATCTTCAGTTTTAATTTGATACTTCTATAGCAAAATTTTCATAGCTATGATTTTGTTGTCAAAGCTAAAATTGCTTTAAATGAGCACAGGTTTATATACCTTGTGTTTAATGTTTAGTTTCTGAAATCCAACATTTCAAAGAGCTTCTGTCTCTTCATTTCTCCATAATTAGCCATGTGTTCAAGTTTAACTTATAATTTGTTCATTTAAGTGGATATTTTAAACTATTTGGGATCAACTTTACAGCTTTAGAGAAAATAATCTCTTACTGAAAACATTGCCTAAGGCTTTGCCAGTGACCAATAGAATGTTTTAACTTGCAATAAGTATTCTTAAAATTTCAGCTTCAATGAGGTAAAATTGACATAAAATTGTAATATACTTAAGGTGTATATCATGATGATTTGATGTAGATTGGGAAAGGATTCCCACCATCTAGTTAATTGACATGCCTATTTCACATATTTATTTTTTTGGTGAAAACATTAAAGCTCTCTCTTAGCAAATTCCAATTACACATTACAGTATTGTCAATGATAGTCATCATGTTTTACATTAGATTCTCAGAACTTACTCATCTTACAGCTAAAAGTTTGTACCGTTTTACAAACCTTTCCCTATTTGCCCTACTCCTCAGCTCCTGGCTACCACTTTTCTACTCTGTTTGTATGACTATAACTTATTTTACTTTTTAAAAGATTCAACATATAAGTGAAGCCATGCAGTATTTATCTTTGTCTGGCCTATTTCACTTCACATAATGCCCTCAAGGGTCTATCCATGTTGTTGCAAATGGCAGGATTTCCATCTTTTTCATAGCTGAATAATATTCCATTGTGTGTACATATACACACACATACACACACCACATCTTCTTTAGCCATTCATTCACTAACAGACACTTAGGTTGTTTCCCTATCTTTGTTATTGTGAATAATGCTGAAATGAACATAGGAGTGCAGACAGTCCTTCAATATACTGTTCATTTCTTTTGAATATATACCCAGAAGTGAAATCGTTAGATTACATGGTAGTTCTATTTTTAATTTTTGAGTAACCTTCTGTATGTTAAGAGCCAGATGGCTGGTTTGTAGAAGCACACCCTGAATGCCTCTGTTAATCATTATCTTGAGAATGTATAGATCTTGTGCATCCTTTCTGTTACTTTCCACAAGCAAGATAGGTAGAAAATGTGTTGTTCAGCATTCCAGGTCAAGGGTGCCAGGGTTGGCAAAACTGGAGTATCTCCTTGGTAATGAAGCATGTCCCGCTGGTGGGCTTTTATCTTCTTGGAATATTTGCCATGCAAGGAGGAGCAAGGCTACAGAGAACTGCTAGGATAATTGCTACACTATAAAAGTTTGCTGCATTTAGTTTCCAGCAGCAGATGCTTTGTTCAGTTGGCCACTCCTGGACTCCACGTAACTTTAAGTTTTCCACATAAACTTAGGTCTCAAGCACTGTCTCTGGGTCATTCCTTTGGTCTCACTGGGTCATCACCTACACATAGCTGAGTCTTCAGAAATGTGGCTACACACCTCCATACTGTTTTTCATAGTGGCTGTACCAATTTTACATTCCTACCAACAGTACATAAGGGCTCCCTTTTCTTCACACCTTCCTTAACATTTGTAATTTCTTTTTGATGATACCCACTGTAACAGGTATGAGTGATAGCTCATTGAGGTTCTGATTTGCATTTCTGTGATTATTAGTGATGATGAACACCTTTTCATGTACCTGTTCACCATTTTATGTTGTCTTTGAAAAAGTGTCTATTCAGTTCCTTTGCCCATCTTTTTTTTTTTTTTTTTTAGAGTAGGCTCTATGTCCAACATGGGGCTTGAACTCACAAGCCCTAGGGTCAAGAGTTGCATGCTGTGCTGCCTGAGCCAGCCAAGCACCCCCATCTGCCTGTTGTATTGTATTGTATGAATCCTCTATATTTTTTTGAATTGTATGAATCCTTTATAGTTTTTTGACATTAACCTCTTATCAGATATATGATTTGCAAATATTTTCTCCCATTCAGTAGATTACCTTTTCATTTTGTCAATGGTTTCCTTTACTATATAGAAACTTTTTAGTTTGATGTAGTCCCACTAAATCATACTTTTGCTTATTTATGCATATTTTGCTTTTATTGTTTTTGCCTTTGGTTTCAAATCCAAAAAAATTACTG